TAGCCTTTGTGATTTCAACTTGGTTAGATTTTAGTTCTTTTATTTCTCCACAAAGGGATTCTCTAGTGTCTTCTATGCTTTTTTCAAGCCCAGCTAGTATCTTTATAATCGTCATTCTGAACTCTAGTTCCTATATCTGACTTATATCCATATTGATTAGGTCCCTGGCAGTCAGTACTGCTTCTTGTTCTTTTTTGAGGTGAGTTTTTCTGTCTTGTCATTCTGTCCAGAGAACAGCAGATGAATGAGAGAACAAAATAAAATGGTAACAACAAGCCCAGAGAAATATACACTAAACAAATCAGGAGAGACCCGAAACCAGGAAAAAAAAATTAAAGAAAAAAAAAGAATATAATCAGACAGGTGAGCAGAATAGAGCAATATACTGAATTATGTATGTATTTTGGTCTGTTTTTTAGAAAACTAGATCCCAAAATTGTAAAGAAGAAAAACTTATATATGTACAAAAATAAAATTAAATACAATGAAAGAATAGAATGTAACTGTAAAAATTGAAATTAAAAAAAGACAAGTAAAAACAAAAGAGGAAAAAAATCCAAGAACAAAAGGGAAAGGATATAAACAAACAGGTGAACAGAACAGAGCAATACACTATGTCCTGAGTGGTTTTTGTCAGTTTGTTAGAAGAAACTATATCTTAAAAGAGTAAAGAAAGAAAAATGTATATATACAAAAATAAAATTAAGTACATTGAAAGGATAGAATGTAACTGTAAAGATGAAAATTCAAAAAGACTTTCTTTAACAAAACAAAACAACAAAAGGAAGAGGAAAAACAAAAAAGAGAATATGATCAGACAGGTGAATAGAACAGAGTCATATAGTAGATTTTGGGTGTATTTTGGTCTGTTAGAAGAAAAGTGCATCCCAAAATTGTAAAGAAAGAAAAACTTATATATATATATACAAAAATCAGACTAAATACAATGAAGAGATAGACTATAACTGTAAAAATGAAAATTAAAATCAAAAAAAGTTGATAAAATAAGAAATTGGTTGAAAAGGAAAGAAAAAAATTGAAAGACTAAAGAATCATAGGAAAAAAGCCATGAATTCTTTGTGGGTTGTTTTGTTTTTCTTTTTTTATTTTATTTTATTATGTTATGTTAGTCACCATACGTTATATCATGGTTTTTGATGTAGTGTTCCATGATTCATTGTTTGCATATAACACCCAGTGCTCCATGTAATACGTGCCCTCTTTAATACCCATCACCAGGCTAACCCATCCCCCCAGCCCCCTCCCCTCTAAAACCCTGTTTGTTTCTCAGAGTCCATAGTCTCTCGTGGTTCGTCTCCTCCTCCGATTACCCCCCTTCATTTTTCCATTCCTACTTTTTTTTTTTTTTATATATATTCTATGTGCTGTATTCCCCTAGCGCTGGAGTTTTGCAGTTCTCTTTGATGGGTAACCTTGGTCTTGGCTGGATGTTCTTGCTGATCTTCTGGGGGAGGGGCCTGTTGCAGTGGTTCTCAAATGTCTTTGCCCGAGGCAGAATTGTACTGCCATTGCCGGTCCGGCCTAAGTAATCTGTTCTGGTTTGCTCTACATGGCTTTTGTTACCTGAAAGCTTTCCACGCAGCGTTAGAGGACAAGAATGAACATGACGGCCTCCCTATCTCTGGCCCCGGAGGAGCCGAGAACTCGGAGCACCACTCCTCAGTGAGCCCGCAGAGAAAAGCAGTCGATCACTCCCGACTCCCCGGCCTCCAGCCGCACTCCGTGCTCACCCGGCCTGTTACCAAGCGTTTCTATCTCTGGCGCACGACCCCGTGTGGAGTCTCCAAACCCAGCAGATCCCTGCAGTGCGCTCCCTCACTGCTCCTCCCGGGGGAGGAAGGGGAGTCTCCCTGGATCTGCCGCTTGTTGGGTCCCTCCTGGAGGAGCCTGACTGTGCCATGGATCACGGTTTACGGCAACCCGGAGCTGAGAGCCCACTCCTCAGCTCACTCTTTGCAGCCGGCTTCCCCGCCCCGATGGCCTGGGAGCTCTGCCACACTCAGGCACCCCCAGTCTTCTTGTGACCCCAAGGGTCCTGAGACCACACTGTCCCGGCTAACACTGCACCCTCACTTAGGCACCTGAGCAACATCCCTCACTGGAGCAGACCTCTAAAAGTTCCAATTTTGTGCTCTGCTGCTCTATCACTTGCTGGTAGCTGGCTGACGGAGGCTCTGACCCCCCACCCCCCGCGATTAATCTTCCCGTGTATCATCTGGGATTCACTTCTCCACACCTCCTACCTTGCAGAAAGTGGTCGCTTTTCTATTTGTAGAGTTATAGCTATTCTTTCCTTAGATCCCTATTTGAGTTCGCAGGTGTTCAGAATGATTTGATAGCTATCTAGCTGAATTCTTGGGACCAGATGAAATTAAGGTCTCCTACTCCTCTGCCATCTTGGACTCTTGCCCCCCATTTATATTTTCTTCTAAGAGTTTTATAGTTTTATCTCTTACATTTTGGTTTTTGATCCATTTTGAGTTAATTTGTTTGTATTTGATATAAGGAAGTGTTCTAACTCTATTCTTTTGTATGCAGCTATCCAGTTGTCCCAGCACCATTTGTTGAAAAGACAGGGGCGCCTGGGTGGCTCAGTTGTTAAGCGTCTGCCTTTGGCTCAGGTCATGGTTCCGGGGTCCTGGGATCGAGTCCCACATCGGGCTCCCTCTCCCTCTCCCACTCCCCCTGCTTGTGTTCACTCTCTCACTGTTGTTTCTGTCAAATAAATAAAATCTTAAAAAAAAAAAGAAGACAGTTATTTTTCCATTGAATTGTCTTGACATCCTTGCTGAAAGTCAAGTAACGGGTGCCTCGGAGGCTCAGTCGTTAAGTGTCTGCCTTCGGCTCAGGTCATGATCCCAGGGTCCTGGGATTGAGCCCCACATCGGGCTCCCTGCTTGGCCAGGAAGCCTGCTTCTCCCTCTCCTACTCCCCCTGCTTGTGTTCCCTGTCTCGCTGTGTCTCTCTCTGTCAAATAAATAAATAAAATCTTTAAGAAAGAAAGAAAGAAGGAAGGGAGGGAGGGAGGGAGGAAGGAAGGAGAAAGAAAAAAGTCAAGTAACTATAAATGTAAGGATTTATTTCTAAACTCTCAACTCTATTCCATTGGACTACATGTCCATGCATTTATTTTTCTTTCATTCATTCTACAAAGATTTATTGAGTGTCTTTTTATGGCAAGCATTGCTTGACATGTCCATGTTACTTGCTTTTGGGAACTAAACTGTCCCTCTTTGAAGCCCAAATCTTCAGGAAACACATTCTAACAGGATCTTCCATCTCTTTTTCTTAATGAGATATGAAGTGATTTCCTTTCATAGCCACACCCATAGAGACAATACTATCTCTGATTTGTACACAGTCTTTGGGCAAGTTGTTTCTCTGTTTTATAAATGTTCAGAAGTCTGAGTGTGTTTTAGAAGGCTTGGAAGAATGAAAATTGGCCTAGGATAGTCCAGTGGATATATTGAAGAAGAGGTTAGTTTTAGAGTGGAAGGAAGATCTGCAGCCATGTTGAGGGCTCCTGGCAGGTATGGAATGGCCCACACGCAACCTGAAATGTCCAGGAAGTTGGTAAGTGTAGTTGCTGCTAGTAGTAAGGCCAGTGAGAAATGGCAAAGAGGTGAGGATGGAGGAGCTGCTAGATTGGGTACCCATAATTCTGCTTCCAGATTTTACTTTAGTAGCAGTTCCTTACCAGTATAAAGTTACAATGAGAAAATGAGGCTTACAGATAATGGCTTATTGCTGGGTTTAAGATGACCTAATGGAGGCAAGAGTTTTTTGTAATGGCAGTGGCTGGTTTCTCCATAGGGGTTGTGATTGTAGGAATTGAAAGGAGAAGCCAAAGAAATTTAAACTTAGCAGAACTTAATGGTTATCTAAAATAACTAATGATTCCAGTGTTCTAACTTCAGGACATTGGAAGGATAATTATACCAATGTTTACTGTAATGAACAAGGTGAGAATGATTTATAAAGATAATAAACTTTGATTTTTGTATGCTTATTGGCAAACTATTCAAGTGAATTTTAAAAGATAATTTAACCATTAGATAATACGTCAATATACAGTATAGGTAGTACATATGATATGCAGGAGTTGCTAATGTTCATTAGATACAAATACAGTTGATTTCCCTTTTATAGGTGCCTATTCATTTTTGAAACCCATAGTATAAAATGACCTTTCAGTGTCTAATTTTAGTGGTTAAGCGATGGTTTTGTTTTCTCTATATGATAAATATAAAATATATTGCACTTGGCCAGTGATTTTGAAAGGCTTTACAAAAGGTACCTAGAGGGGCACCTGGGAGGTTCAGTTGTTTAAGCGTCTGCCTTCAGCTCAGGTCATGATCTCAGGGTCCTGGGATCGAACCCCACATCGGGCTCCCTGCTCAGTGGGGAGCCTGCTTCTCCCTCTCCCTCTGCCCCTCCACCTGCTTGTGCACTCTCTCTCAAATAAATAAAATCTTACAAAAAAAAAAAAAGAGTACCTAGATTCCATGATATACTGTTGGCATTAACAATATTATTGTTTTGGGGGGAAGCAATATTAGAGTTTTGGAGGGAAAAAGTTGGGGTCTTGGGAGGGTTGTTTTTTTATTTTTTTTTTAAGATTTTATTTATTTATTTGTCAGGGGAGAGAGAGCGCGCACAAGCAGGGGGAGCTGCAGGCAGAGGGAGAAGCCGGCTCCCCGATGAGCAGGGAGCCCGATGCAGGGCTCGATCCTAGGACCCTCGGATCATGACCTGAGTCAAAGGCAGGTCTGATTAAGCTTAACTGATTGAGCCACCCAGGCATCCCTGAGGAAAAAAGTTTTTAATATTGACTATATTGAAAAACAGTTTATATAAAGTTTCAGTTACCCAAGATGGTTTCATGTCTAAACAGTAAAATTGAATGGTTCAGAAAATGTATTACATGTTGAAACTTAGTACAATATACATTTATTTACCCATCCTAAAATTTCTTTCAGGAATCGTTCCATCTTCTGTTGTCCTGACTTCTTTCCAGGTGATGTCAAGAGTTTTTCTGATATGGGCAGTAACACATAGTGTCAAAGAGGTAAGTGTTTACATAGACTAAAGTAAAGTAATGCCAGCAATGCTAGTCAATGCTAGTCAACTTTTCTGTCTCTTGTGTGTTATGGCTACAGATGAAACTCTATGTCACATCAGTATAGCCCAAATAAAATGCATATTCGCTGTAGGAATTGGGTTAGTAGTGGGAAACATACTCCAAATATGCACTGTTGTTAAAGAGAAGACTGGTTAAATGATAAAGTCCTGCAGTCTTAGTTCCCATAGAGATTCGGATAATATGGATGTGGTCTGCAGTTTAGTTACCTTTTTGGGGTATCTTGTTTGTATTCAGCATACGAAACTGGACATCTGCATCCTTACAGTGGAACTGTTGGCGGAGTTGGGAATATTAATTCAGTCCAGAGCAGTCCTCTTTATAGGACGAGGAGAAACAAACTTGTTTCCACCCCACCCACCAGGATCAGTGGAATTCCCAAATGTGCTGAGTCTAGTGGTTCTGGACGGGAAGTACGCTGCAGGGGGGCCTGAGGCGATAGGTACCCAGGCAGGCCCGGTGATGCTGGGAGAAAGCCAGCATTACTGTCGGTATGAATCCACAGCTAAGCTTTCATTTTCTAGTATCGGAGAAGGGGATTATTTTCCTGTATGTTTTTTGCTTTTTAAAAGTTTTATTTATTTCTTGTTAATGTCACCTTAAAATAGAGTACCTGTAGCCACCAAGAGGATTCATTTTTCAGTTTTTTGGTCCCAGTCACCAGCAGTATTGGAATCTTTGGGACTCATGAAATGTGCTTATCCATTAGCATTATTCTGGTGTTTTCTTTGTGTTCTATTCTTTCAAAACCACTGTCAAAACATTTTGTTTTTCAGGATTTATTTTGACGGTTTCATTTGTATTTCAACTAATGAGGTTTTTCTTTTTAACTTTTTATTGGCTTATGATACACATACAGAAAACTGCACGTGGCTGATGAGTTTTTAACCAAAGCTGATTAAGCTCATTTATTATTTTTGTTACATTCATACGAAATTTGGTGATCCAAAGGCTTTTTTTTAACCTCTCTCACTTCTCCTGGCACACCCCAGGTCATCAATAGCTAACTTTCTTTTTTTTTTTTAAGATTGTATTTACTGGGGCGCCTGGGTGGCTCCATCATTAGGCGTCTGCCTTCGGCTCAGGTCATGAGCCCGGGGTCCTGGGATCGAGCCCCATATCGGGCTCCCTGCTCGGCGGGAAGCCTGCTTCTCCCTCTCCCACTCCCCCTGCTTGTGTTCCCTCTCTCCCTGTGTCTCTCTCTGTCGAATGAATGAATGAATGAATGAATGAATAAATAAATAATCAATCAATCAATCAATCAGTCTCACAGGGAGGAACATGACCTGAGCCGAAGGCAGACGCCTAATGACGGAGCCACCCAGGCACCCCAATCAATAGCTAACTTGAAGAGCCTGTTGCTGTGGCATTTCAGAGGCCAGTCTTGCTGTCTGTCACCTGTTCCTCAGCCCATGCTCTTGGCCAGATGCTATTTTTCCTGCCGTAGAGTCTCATGTTAGTTATAATTCACTTTGTTCTCTACAACATTACTTACGGCTTCCCTGCTAAACTGCCATCCTTTTTCCTGAAATATCATTAAAACACTTATTTCCCTTATATTCAACTCTGTTTACTTTAATGGTGGGAACCACATAACTAACACATAAAGAAATTGATGTCAGAAATAACTGCTTAATGTATCTCACTTGCTCATAGTAATGTTCAAATTCTTTTCATACTGCTCTACTTTCATTCTCAGTTTCTTTTTACATCCTATTCCCCTCTAATGTGGACAAGAATTCTTCACGTTCATAGCATCCTGTTTGGATTTGGACTCTTGCTACCCCTCTCTCTGGCCTTCTCATATTTTCCATGCTCATTCCCCTTGTTTTTCTGTAATTGTACATGCTGTGCTAAGGTCGGGCTTATTGTACCTTTTAAGCCTAGATACTACTTTTTTTATACGTGAGGTATGTTTCCTTTTAAGAGGCCGTGTAGGCCTCTCATGCATCTCACTTGTCATTTTAATTCTCCACCTATGGAATGCTGGTCACATAAATGTTGCCATGTACATCATAGAACCAGAAGGTGACAAGACAGTTTTCTATGATGATATAAAAGGACTCACCCATCAGTTAGTTTGACATCTTGATTGGTAGGTTATTAAAGAAATAATTGTGGTCTCTTTGTTGAAAAGCTTTTTCTTAACTAAGCATAGCAAATAACCTTCCCACTTTTTTCCTTCTAAAGAGAGCCACCTATATGAGTGTAGTAAAGCTTCTGACAAAAATGACAAGCTCAGGGTGGGAGGTAGGGTGTAGGAATCAGCAATTCTAGCTGACCTCTTTCCTTTCCAGTTTTTCCACCTGTCTTCCAGGCTTGAACTGGCTCCTCCTCCATCTCTTAGCCAGGCTGGCCATGCTGCTGCCACATCAGACTACTGTGGGCTTTTTTTCTCCTCACACTCTGTTTGAGTCTGTCCTTTGTCTCCTCATTGAGCTGAAACAAGACTGGCTTTTTCCAAGGTGAACTGCAGTGGAAAATGCCACTTTCTGTCCCTCACTATAACCCCCCCTTCAAAAACACAGGAGTTCGTAGGGCAGATATTCTTCCTTTGTCCAAAAGTAGCTAAGCCGATACCCAGATTCGTAGATATTCAAATGAGCCACTGTCCCTTTCCTGGCCCAACCCTCTTAGAAGAACCCACCCAAATCCTCGTCACAGTTCTCAATGGAAGATCACTGTGTTCTGAGCAGAAGTCCCTGGTCACCAACATGGGCAGTAGTTGAGAAAGAAGTTGCTGGACTCTCACTGTGACTTTAGCCCAAGTGCAATGAGTGCCCTGTACAGTCTACTAGTGACAGTTTGTATAAAATAAAGCTGTACCCTGGAATGCTGAGCCTTCTCTCCTATCTTCCTCATCCTCTGCCACCAGTGGAGAAAGGGATGTTTTCCTGCATTCTTCCAGAGTGTTCTGTGAGTTCTCCTGACTCTACCAGCCCGCCGTTTCCCACCTCTTTTTGGCATGCTGCTGGGCTTTGTGACACTGTCATTCTTGTCAACTTCTCGGTGAGATGCTTACAAAAAGCTTGCAATCAGTGTTTAAGAAAGTAACCTCCAGTTTCTTTATCATTATACTGATCTTTGTTTGATGCATTACAGTTTACAGAAGGCTTTATTAAAGATAAATTGTGGTCATTCACTCTTGACAACTGTCTCTTGAGGTAGGTTGTAGCCTCCAATTAGAGTTTGGATGCTAGAGAAATCAAAGTGACTGTCACACATCCAAATAAGCAGAGTTGGGAATGGACTTCTGATTCCAATCTCTTCCCTCTGTATCAGAACTTCCCTCTCACCATTTAAATTGTGGGATGAACGCAACCTTATTTTTGTGTGCTGACCGGGCTTTCTCTATCCCGTACGGAATGGAAAGCCCCCGTCTCAGACCGAGGAACACATGCCTCGAAAGCAGTTCTGTCATGCCACATGCTTGCTGAGGTAGGATTCTCAGATCGGTCATCTATCTGTATGTGAAACGCCCACATGAGCTGTGGGCTTGGGGCGCTCGTCTGTGGCACGTTGCCCACTTGCTCCTCTCTTGGTCCGGTGTCCCAGTGGCTCTCTGATGAATCCGTCCAGTTGACTAGCCTTTCTCCTTGAACGTTCCAAGACCGTTTAACTGTTGGGGATTATGGAGTATTTGGAACAGAATTACCCAGAAAGCTTATTAAAAAATGCACGTTCCAAGTGCCACCCCACACTTGATACAGAATCTCTGGCAGTGGAGCCAGAGAATAGCATTGTGAATAAGCTCCTCAGATAACTGTATGAATTCTAAGGTTGGAGAATATTCTTAAGATACCATATGTTGTGCTGTAATTTTAATTGACCTTCTCTTTTCTTGATTTTACTTCCTATTTCTACTTAATTTACTTGAAGCCTAACCAGCTCTCATCATTCTTTTCAAGTCCAAGAGCCGTGGTTTCATTCTTGAAGAATGAAAGCCTTAGGGTTCCCTCAACACTGCTAAAGTAAAGGCACTGTGGAGTTTCTGGACCTTTTTCCAAAATACAGTGTCTGCTGAGCTGAGACTCATGCACATGTCAGAGAAAGCCTGGGAGGCCCACCTTGAAGACAGAGGGAGATCAGAAGGCACAGCATTAAAGAAGCAAAACTGACTTTCGTTTGCTTAAGAGCGAGGATGAAGAATCCAGCTGCTTCACTTTGGGGTGGGTCCTGGCAAGGGCTCTATCCTGGGCATGTGCTTCATGGTGCCCGGCCAGAGCCACCAGGCTGATTGATTAGTAGGAGTTCATTCCCACCTGAGGAAGTACTGTGCAGACACTTCTCTTCCTGGGATTTATCAAGAAATGTCACCTTCCTTGGACAGCTTTATTATTTTCTAGGTAATTAGAACTCAGTATTATAGAACCTGGAGGCTTAGCACCTGTAACTCATGTGAGGAGTTGATGAGTGTTGACTTTGACACTTAATCCTAAAGCTCAGGACAAAATGCTTCAACATTCTGGGCCTTGTTTTTCTCATATGTAATGCGAGTATCGGTCCTGCTTATGTCATGGAGTGTTTGTGAACAAGAAATGAGAAGGGTTTGTGGAAACAAGGCAGCCGTATTCAGAAATCAAGGTCTCTAGCATGCAGCTTTTGCTGAGCAGCTTCTGAAAGCCCTTGTAAAGCAGTTTCACCTCAGAAAGAAGGTTCCTTCTTTCATAGATGAACAGTTTGCTTTTTCTTCCTCTTTTCTTCTTTTTCACTCTTGCAGAAACTAAAATACTAAGTAAAGTGACACCCTTACTCCCACACTCCCTCATCCTATTTTGGTTGCATTATAGGTTTGTCTTCTCTGCTGGCTTCACAGCATGCACGTGCTCTCTGTCACCTCTCGAGGTTACTTCTCCCATTAGTGTTTCCTGTGGCGGCACATGCTTCTTGCTGTTCCGAATGGCCATCTGTGAACACGGTGTTTCCCT